GGGGGGGGCAAAATTTATTATGGTTTATAATGGCAAATGATACTTTGAATATTACATGTTAATAACTTGATTGGAATTATAACCCTGAGTTGACAGTTTATACTATGAAAATTTTGAGCCAGCCCTACCCACATGGGCTGTAGGGTGGGACCCAAAGGAGTCAGTGTGCTAAAATTTCTTTTCATTTTCCTTGTTTAGAATCACGAGGTGCTAGTTTCAAATACTTTTTAGTCTTAAATCTGTATGCTAGATATTGAATAAGGTGGTTTTATTGTTTTTTTGTCACTTTGAATAATATTTCTGTTCGTGTTGAAAACAAAATTAACTCTCTGTATAAATATATCAGGTGACCGTTAAGGCCCATGGGCCTCTTGTTTCATTTATGACTGCAGGGTACTTTGGTGGACTGTAACAGTGTCACCTTTACAGTGAGAACTTGTTATTATTAATTTTATTAATTTTTAATCCAAGAACAAGTGAACTAACACAGACTACGTGAGAGTTGTAATGGTTTGTTTACTTGACAGCGAGCTCGGACAGAGATAGTGGAGCTGAGGCTGGAGATGGATGTGATGAGGGATTCTGATGCTAGTCATGGAGTAAAGGGCAATTCTCTGTTCTCAGAGGTAAGGTGTCGTTAAGGATATAAATGTCCTCACAGAGGCCAGAGGTCATTGGGTGTATAAATATCCTCTTAAAGGTTGTTTAGAGTATAAATACTATCTTAGAGGTAAGATATCGTCAATGATATAAATATCTTCTCACAGGTCATAGGTCCTTAAGAGTTTTTTAATACAGGTAAGATGTAGTTAGGGATATAAATGTCTTCTTGGAGGTAAGAGGTCAGAGGTCATTTAGTGTATAAATATCTTCTTAGAGGTCATTTAGAGCATGAATATTCTCAGAGGTCAGGTGTTGTGTATCCGAGGTTGTTGAGAATAAATATCATGCGCCCACAAACTGCAACCCCAGCCAGGTAAAATGTGGTCTTTGAAATGTACTGATCTATGCCAAACAATACAAAGGAACTTTTAACTTTTGTGGCAGTTTAGCAAATCAGTAGAGGGACCTGTTATCCAACTTCAAAACATGGAGATTAACATTAATTGTTCTACAACATAAGTTGTGTTATTAATGGTCATGAACCTCTTGTCATTTGAATACGACTTAGCTAATTTATCATAACATGTGAATTGATCAGACATTAAAATTCCAGTATATAATATCTACGTATATTACCTTGTAGGTCGAGGACCGGCGTGTTGATGCCGAAAAGAAACTTATCTCCCTAAAACATAAATGTGAGGCACAGGAATTGATCAGCAAGAAGCAGACTGGCGAGAATCGTAATTTGAGGGTAATAGATCACAGCAAGCTGTTTATATTGTACAATTGGATATTTTTTAACTTCACATTTAGCTTCTCAGCTGTGCATCACAGTCAGTGTTTAAGTTTTTCAACTGCTCTGTTACCAGGAAAGCATTATTTTGTCTATACCAGCTGATATAAGAGTTGAACTAAAAGTATCAACCATTTCTCCTGTATGCCAACATTACAGTAGTGGAGGGAGCCTGGCAGTTTTACACTGTCTATAGCAATGTAGAAATCCAGCAGCAAAGATTTTATTCCTGAAGAAATTGAAGTACGCTGTTAGAGAATTGTTGTTGTTTGTTCATTTAGAATGGCGTTAAATTTCTCTTTCAGAACCAGATGATGATTCTTCTCCACTCCAGTAGAGGAGAAGCAGATGGTGACCGCATCAAACAGCTGGAGTCACAGCTCTCCCAGGCTCGCTCCAAAATCACACAACTCAACGAGGAAAAGTACACTCTGGAGAAGAAAATGGTAGGAGCACTTGTGGGTATCTTGTTTCAGGCGTTCATTGTGTGGCAGTAGATGCACCAACATTCAGCAGAGAATCCTGCTACACCTACGCTGTGTGTATTATGTGTTGTCCCTACATTGTGTGTCAATCTTGCATTCATGAATGTTTTACCAGAGCAAAGTACCAATGGCCACGTCCACTGCAGTGAAAACATTATATAAGTATAATACAACTGGCCCTGGGTTCACAGAAATTCTTTACAAATATTAATATTTATATGTGCAAGATTCATCGAGTCACTGCTATGTAAATAGGATGTTCTTACCCAGACAGTTTTACTGACATTCTGCCAGCTTGGTCACTGGGGACGTAAGTGGTGTGGAAGTTACTTCCCAGTGGTGAACAAGGTGTCGTAAATCTGGCTGAGCTGGTAGGCCCCCTGGTCTCTGTTCATAGCGGGGCCCTGTTTTTTGATCTGGATGGCCACCTTCACTTATCACCCTCGCTGGTTACTCTCTCTGTCCATGATCTTAGCCTGCTCCCAGTCTATAACATGATTTTCTTTGTTAACGTGGTCCGTTATGGCCCTCTTTCTGATGTTTTTCTCTCTGACCTAGATAAGTTCCTGTTGTTACCAATGGACATAACTTCCTTTCAATGTTACATAGCATTGGCTCGATGAACCTTGCACATATGCCTTACATTCCTGCTAAATGAACCTTTTCAGTGAAATATTGTTATTTATTCCTCAAATTTAATTTCACTTAAGACAAACACTAATACTCGAGTAAAGGAATGTTCTGTATTGTCTCCCTTGACAACGCCTCACTTTGGTCTTTAGTTGAGCATTCGCCCCTGTGAGGAAGGCTTTGGGTTTAGGAGTGGGACGACTGGTTCGCCTGTTGTCAGTATAATGTGACCGGGTGGGGTGTTTTGCTGTGTGTCTTTGGCAGTATGTTTCAGTGAGGTAGCACTATAAAGTCGGCATCAGTTCCGCGCTATCGCAAGGAGACAAACACGAACATATCGCAGCCTCCAAAAACATACGCATATACACTACACGCATGCATCTTGCACACAGGGAAGGCCGTCCTTAAATGACCATAGCTGATAATAGGACGTTAAGCAGTACTAAACCATACCAAACTGTATTGTTCAAGTATATGTACTAGTATATATCGTTATGTTGACCATATAAGTAGATACAAAAAAAATGTGCTGTGTTAATCAAATTGAACTATTCTGGTATTCCTTTTTGTGACTGATCCATTTTGAATATTTCTTTTTATTTTAGAAAAGCCAGACTGAAAACTTCTCTGAAAGATTTGCTGGTAAGAAATACTATTAAAGTTATAACACTAATTTTATTTCATTATTTTCACATTCGTTGGAATGATTGTAAATTCTAGTAAGCAATTCGCTGTTTTAAACCATGTCTTTGTTTCAAGAAGTTGTTATTATCAGGATTCTTAGAATTCTTAATCAAGTAAACTCATCTCAATACAGAATATTTTGGTAAATGTGCAACACATTATTTGTGTCGTGTAACCTATTGCATGCTGTAGCACACAAGTTGTGTCTTATATGAACACACAAGTTGTGTCTGTTATATGAACACACAAATTGTGTCTGTTATATGAACACACAAGTCGTGTCTGTTATATGAACACACAAGTTGTGTCTGTTATATGAACACACAAGCAGTGCCATACAGTTTAAATTGTACATGATGTAATACACCGATCACATATTTCTAAACATTTTCTTCAGGTTGGTAAGTATGGGTAAGAGAAGTTCTTTTCAACAACCAAAACATTTCCTATGTGACGTTTCGATGACTAGTACGATATTTACAGTCACCTTCATCAGACAAATGTCCAATGAAGTGTATGCACACAAAGGTGTAAAATGTGTATGAGTTGTCCACAAATCGATGTCGATTCGGCTTCACTGTAAGCATATGTACAATAGTTGTTATATATGTACCGAAATGACTCGATTCGGCTACACTGTAAGTATATATACAATAGTTATATATGTACAATAGTTGTTATATATATACAATAGTTGTTATATATATACAATAGTTGTTAAATATGTACAATAGTTGTTATATATATACAATAGTTGTTAAATATATACAATAGTTGTTAAATATATACAATAGTTGTTATATATATATACAATAGTTGTTATATATGTACAATAGTTGTTATATATATACAATAGTTGTTATATATATACTATACAATAGTTGTTATAGAAAAAATAAAATTAACGACCGACTAAAAAAACTAGCTGCTTTCACCCGTCACAGGGCTCTTCAGGTTTTGTTATATATATATACAATAGTTGTTATATATGTACCGAAATGACTCGATTCAGCTACGCTTTATTTAACACTGCATCACATGCTGTGGTACAGAAGACAGTCTTAGTCACACAGGTCATACCATAATACTGTACCTCAAAACTATCAATGAAGCCCAGTGGTAATACAATAATGTGTCTTCCTTAACCCAACCAAGCTTGGGGGGAAGAGAAACTATTTTATTTCAGAAATTTAGTATTTTTACTGATTTTCATACCAAAATGTTAAATGTTAATGACTACAATCAAAGTCTAGTGCTGTCATTTTACAATAAAAGCATTAGATAGTAGGTAGCAATATACATAGTGTGAAGTACGAACAGAGAATTCTATACAGATGAAGGTCCTTGTAATATCGTATAAACTTTATTAACTGGATCATAAGTGACAGGCAAATCATTGCATGGTTCCTACTCATTAGAGTATTTCATATTTGTAAGGACTGTTCCAGAAAATGTGACTCCAACCACCTCCAGTTATTTTCTTCCTAGAGTCTACTTTGTCTACAAATGTTATTCTTCAATTTGCATCCAAGTTTTGCGAATCTCAACAAATGTTATGAATAATTCTGTTTTTTAATGGATGATTTTTTCTTATTTCAGTTTTATATTTGCTAAAATTACTGCTTCTTACCTTTTTGTCTGCTATTTATGAAACTTGGTGCACACGATTGGTACCTACCATGGTTTTCTAGTTTTTATGTTAAATCAGTTTTCTTTTTCTTCTGCATGGGAACAGCAGATATAAGTGAATTCATGTCTTATGGTTTGAGTTTTTACTGTAATAACTCAAGAACTCTTTGTTTTCCAAACTTTCATTTTCAATGTTGTAGCCATGGAGCCGAACGAGCAATGTGACAAGGCTGGGGACAAGGCTTTCACGAACTATCTCATCACCATGGTTAAAACAAAGGAGTAAGTCTTACAGTCATTGTATATAGTTAACTGGGCCGTTTTTCGTTTAAACAGCCAAACCGGTCGGACCACAGTTGTTTGTTTATCAAATAAGGTCGGACCTAGTAATCTGATGCTGCTTTCAGGCGAGCCTTGACAAAGCCTTGCAAGGCCTGAATAGACATTTTCAGGTCCGCCAGGATTTATACCAGAAATTGTTACATTTGTAAACGGTCAAACCGGTTGTTCTGCCTGAACGAACAGGCCCCTAGTGTTTAGGTTCACTCTGTGTAGGTTATAAAGTGGCTGTAGATATGTGATTCTGTAATTTCATAACATTTTATTGAAATAGGAGTACAATTTTCTGTATGTGATAGAAATAGAGTAATTCCCAGTTTAATGTTATAGGGATTTCTGACTTTTCAAATGAAAATTGGACAGCTAAGGGAAAATTCATATATGATTTATTGTGTAACGTTCTTGCTGTTTAAAATGTGATATGTTAAGGGGATATATCTGCAAAAATTAAACATATTTAATAAGTTTGAAGTATAACATTTTTTTTTAATGAGCAGTCAACTTTTTAAAATTCACCGACAATTTCTTTTGTAGTCAAGAAAATGAAAACTTGCAGAGTGAGTTGCGAGATGCAGAATTACAACTCCTGGACACAAAGAATGAGAAATCAAAGTTGGAAAGAAAGCTACACAATGCTGAAAGTGAAAGGGAAAAAATTCATAACAAATGTCTCCGGATGCAGCTAAAGTATGATGAGCTCCAACAGAAGTATGATCCAGGTAAGTCAACAGAAGTATGATCCAGGTATGTCAACAGAAGTGTGCTGAATCATTATTCATATTCAAAGATCCAGTCTCCTTTGACCTTTTTTTTAACAAAATATCATCTTTAAGGCTAAAACATCCTCATTTATCCACTATTATTTCATATTAGATGTCAGATTTACAATGCCGTCTGATTACTACATGAAAATTAGAAGATGAAAAATTGTCACTTACTATGGCTAATCAAATTTTTATGAATCTTAATGCAACAAATGGTTTTATTTTGTTTGTTTTATTTTTATTGTATTCTGCTTTGCGTATTGCAGAGTTATCTTCTCTTGTGAGCAGGTATTGATTGTTACGTCATTGGTTTGTGTGAGAAAATTACGACGTTTTCTAAAAAATTGATGACGTTACTCTCAGAAACAAATGACGAAACAATCAATACCTGTTCACAAGAGCAGATAACTGTGCGATACGAAAAGACGGAATAGCCCTTGCAGTCATTTCAAAATTGTACAAGGCCACTACATGTCAAATCCTGCAGTTTAGATGTGGACTACAGTGTACTATAAGTAAATAGAATTCCTGTTTGAAATTCAATCCCTTATCTGAATTTAAGTAAACCATTGAATAATTATATGATGTTTCAATTTCAGAATCTGTGAAAAACAAAGGTGTTTCCAAGAAAAAGTATATCACAGAGAAATTACAAGTTGACGTTGTTCCTGAGCAAACCATTAATGTAAGTCGTACTGAGGCTCCACCACGCCCAGTGTCTGTACAGAGCATTAACACGAGTCGATCAGAGAACCCATTACGCCCAGTGATGGAGGGAAATAAACTACCGACAAAAGATAGCAAGTCCAATATGACAGTGTTAGACGCCATTCCTAAGAAAGGTGTGAGCTCTAAGGTGAGATCTGTGTCTATAGCTGACAGTGTGATGCTTGTCGATAGTGACGGGGAAAAACGGACAGGCAAACTCTCATCAAACTGTGACCGGGAAAATAAGGAGAAATTGATGAAGGAATCGGCGCCTTTAAAACCGAAAGGACAGCGGATGACCAAAGTGATTAAACCGTGTGAGGAAACTGACAATACAGAGGCATGTAAAACACAGTGACGGATCCCAGGGTAACACAAATAGGAACAAATATGTAGAAGTATTTTCGAAAGATATTTTCCGGTACTTGTTTACATCAGAAGTACCAATTACATGATTTAGAAACTTTCAAAATGCACTTTTTTTTTGCCAAAATATCTTGTGATACAGATTAATTTTTCTTTTTCTTTGCTTTCTTACAAAGTTAACCGTAGTCTGTGTTTTATAGACTATATCAGCTTGAATTCCAACACATACATATTTTAAAAGTGGAGTTATGTTTTATTCCAATTCTTACTGTGTGTGTAGTGTTTTGTTCAGCTGATGTGTCAAAATACAGATATATCTAGTAGGAAAAGTTCATTATGAAATATTTTACTGTTGTGTACGTTCAAGTAACTTAAATTCACAGCTTTTAAGGCTGCATGGAAACAAATTGTTAAAAATGTAACTCATAAATTTCTTTTTTTTATTGAATCGAGTCAATTACTAAATTCGACTCGATATTTCATTAGGTGACAGGACAGGAAAGAATCTGGCCAACATTATTTCGGTCACCAGTTTTTATGGATGATTTTAAAATCTTATGTGATATAAAATTATGTTGATGCATGTTGATCATGATTTGTCTGTGTTTAATTTTTTACCAGTTCCAGGATTTTGTTCAGTATTACTCACTCTTTACATGTAAAATTGGTCTGACTGCCACAAACCTGTCATTCTTCTTTATTTTACCTTTCAATGTCTATTTTATTACGATGTAAAATTCAACATATTGAACTGTCGATTTACTGTCCATCAGAATTTTGATTGGATGTATGGTTTTGGGATCATTTGTATGTCCATCAACCCACACTTTGTTTCATAAGGTAACTTGTTTTGATAACCAGTATGGGTGAGTTGTGCATGTTTGTGTGGATGTGAGGGTTTGTGAGATTAGCAATTGCTTTGAAATGATGAATGGGTGTTGTGTTTTTAAGGGTGTGTATGTTTGTGTGAGTGGCTGTGTTTTTGAGGGTGTGTATATTTGTGAGAGTGGCTATGTTTTTGAGGGTGTGTATGTTTGTGTGAGTGGCTGTGTTTTTGAGGGTGTGTATATTTGTGAGAGTGGCTATGTTTTTGAGGGTGTGTATGTTTGTGTGAGTGGCTATGTTTTTGAGGCTGTGTATATTTGTGTGAGTGGCTATGTTTTTGAGGGTGTGTATATTTGTGTGAGTGGCTATGTTTTTGAGGGTGTGTATATTTGTGTGAGTGGCTATGTTTTTGAGGCTGTGTATGTTTGTGTGAGTGGCTATGTTTTTGAGGCTGTGTATGTTAGTGTGAGTGGCTATGTTTTTGAGGGTGTGTATGTTTGTTAGTGGCTATGTTTTTGAGGGTGTGTATGTTTTTGTGAGTGGCTATGTTTTTGAGGGTGTGTATATTTGTGTGAGTGGCTATGTTTTTGAGGGTGTGTATATTTGTGTGAGTGGCTATGTTTTTGAGGGTGTGTATATTTGTGTGAGTGGCTATGTTTTTGAGGGTGTGTATATTTGTGTGAGTGGCTATGTTTTTGAGGGTGTGTATATTTGTGTGAGTGGCTATGTTTTTGAGGGTGTGTATATTTGTGTGAGTGGCTATGTTTTTGAGGGTGTGTATATTTGTGTGAGTGGCTATGTTTTTGAGGGTGTGTATATTTGTGTGAGTGGCTATGTTTTTGAGGGTGTGTATATTTGTGTGAGTGGCTATGTTTTTGAGGGTGTGTATATTTGTGTGAGTGGCTATGTTTTTGAGGGTGTGTATATTTGTGTGAGTGGCTATGTTTTTGAGGGTGTGTATATTTGTGTGAGTGGCTATGTTTTTGAGGGTGTGTATATTTGTGTGAGTGGCTATGTTTTTGAGGGTGTGTATATTTGTGTGAGTGGCTATGTTTTTGAGGGTGTGTATATTTGTGTGAGTGGCTATGTTTTTGAGGGTGTGTATATTTGTGTGAGTGGCTATGTTTTTGAGGGTGTGTATATTTGTGTGAGTGGCTATGTTTTTGAGGGTGTGTATATTTGTGTGAGTGGCTATGTTTTTGAGGGTGTGTATATTTGTGTGAGTGGCTATGTTTTTGAGGGTGTGTATATTTGTGTGAGTGGCTATGTTTTTGAGGGTGTGTATATTTGTGTGAGTGGCTATGTTTTTGAGGGTGTGTATATTTGTGTGAGTGGCTATGTTTTTGAGGGTGTGTATATTTGTGTGAGTGGCTATGTTTTTGAGGGTGTGTATATTTGTGTGAGTGGCTATGTTTTTGAGGGTGTGTATATTTGTGTGAGTGGCTATGTTTTTGAGGGTGTGTATATTTGTGTGAGTGGCTATGTTTTTGAGGGTGTGTATATTTGTGTGAGTGGCTATGTTTTTGAGGGTGTGTATATTTGTGTGAGTGGCTATGTTTTTGAGGGTGTGTATATTTGTGTGAGTGGCTATGTTTTTGAGGGTGTGTATATTTGTGTGAGTGGCTATGTTTTTGAGGGTGTGTATATTTGTGTGAGTGGCTATGTTTTTGAGGGTGTGTATATTTGTGTGAGTGGCTATGTTTTTGAGGGTGTGTATATTTGTGTGAGTGGCTATGTTTTTGAGGGTGTGTATATTTGTGTGAGTGGCTATGTTTTTGAGGGTGTGTATATTTGTGTGAGTGGCTATGTTTTTGAGGGTGTGTATATTTGTGTGAGTGGCTATGTTTTTGAGGGTGTGTATATTTGTGTGAGTGGCTATGTTTTTGAGGGTGTGTATATTTGTGTGAGTGGCTATGTTTTTGAGGGTGTGTATATTTGTGTGAGTGGCTATGTTTTTGAGGGTGTGTATATTTGTGTGAGTGGCTATGTTTTTGAGGGTGTGTATATTTGTGTGAGTGGCTATGTTTTTGAGGGTGTGTATATTTGTGTGAGTGGCTATGTTTTTGAGGGTGTGTATATTTGTGTGAGTGGCTATGTTTTTGAGGGTGTGTATATTTGTGTGAGTGGCTATGTTTTTGAGGGTGTGTATATTTGTGTGAGTGGCTATGTTTTTGAGGGTGTGTATATTTGTGTGAGTGGCTATGTTTTTGAGGGTGTGTATATTTGTGTGAGTGGCTATGTTTTTGAGGGTGTGTATATTTGTGTGAGTGGCTATGTTTTTGAGGGTGTGTATATTTGTGTGAGTGGCTATGTTTTTGAGGGTGTGTATATTTGTGTGAGTGGCTATGTTTTTGAGGGTGTGTATATTTGTGTGAGTGGCTATGTTTTTGAGGGTGTGTATATTTGTGTGAGTGGCTATGTTTTTGAGGGTGTGTATATTTGTGTGAGTGGCTATGTTTTTGAGGGTGTGTATATTTGTGTGAGTGGCTATGTTTTTGAGGGTGTGTATATTTGTGTGAGTGGCTATGTTTTTGAGGGTGTGTATATTTGTGTGAGTGGCTATGTTTTTGAGGGTGTGTATATTTGTGTGAGTGGCTATGTTTTTGAGGGTGTGTATATTTGTGTGAGTGGCTATGTTTTTGAGGGTGTGTATATTTGTGTGAGTGGCTATGTTTTTGAGGGTGTGTATATTTGTGTGAGTGGCTATGTTTTTGAGGGTGTGTATATTTGTGTGAGTGGCTATGTTTTTGAGGGTGTGTATATTTGTGTGAGTGGCTATGTTTTTGAGGGTGTGTATATTTGTGTGAGTGGCTATGTTTTTGAGGGTGTGTATATTTGTGTGAGTGGCTATGTTTTTGAGGGTGTGTATATTTGTGTGAGTGGCTATGTTTTTGAGGGTGTGTATATTTGTGTGAGTGGCTATGTTTTTGAGGGTGTGTATATTTGTGTGAGTGGCTATGTTTTTGAGGGTGTGTATATTTGTGTGAGTGGCTATGTTTTTGAGGGTGTGTATATTTGTGTGAGTGGCTATGTTTTTGAGGGTGTGTATATTTGTGTGAGTGGCTATGTTTTTGAGGGTGTGTATATTTGTGTGAGTGGCTATGTTTTTGAGGGTGTGTATATTTGTGTGAGTGGCTATGTTTTTGAGGGTGTGTATATTTGTGTGAGTGGCTATGTTTTTGAGGGTGTGTATGTTTGTGTGAGTGGCTATGTTTTTGAGGGTGTGTATGTTTGTGTGAGTGGCTATGTTTTTGAGGGTGTGTATATTTGTGTGAGTGGCTATGATTTTGAGGATGTGTATGTTTGTGGGAGTGGCTATGTTTTTGAGGGTGTGCAGATGAGGGTATTATGTAAATGTATATTGCTGATTGATTTGATTAGTTTACACAATTTTACAGTTGTTGATTTTTGCCATGAAAAGACGAGATTTAGTAATTTTTAATTCCAATTTCATCTTTAAAGATCCTCCCTCCCGCTGAAAAGAGGAAACAGCAAAATGGCACAAATGAACCACCGTACAATTTAGTGACTTTAAGTGTTTCTTGTGCAGCCTTTTGGTAGATGGGTGAGGTTTACAGTTATAGTGCTATACAGGAGATGGAAGTGTTGAATCTGTACTTGATTTTATTTGTTTTACACAGAATGATAATTTACATTTTAAGGAAACATAGCTATTGAGCATTACTTTTATTCTTCTTTGAGTATGAAAATTGTCTAATGAACATTCAATGATTAAAAGAAATCAATTCTTGTGTATCAGTTTGTCAAATGTTAGACAAATCTTCATTACAAAATGCGTATTTTAGACTTGTTGATGTACTGTACAGTAAATGTATCACATGGTTTATACCAGAACTGATATGTGCCTTGTCTTATTTCTGTTCATAGAGTTCATATAGACCACCAATAAATGTGTGTCACATTGTGATGACTAGTGTATATGTACTCTGCCATCAGACCAATGACCAGTGAGGTGTATGTACACAAAGGGGTAAAACATGTACGAGTTAGCAACAATCAGATTGCTGTCGGTTCCGCTGCGCTCTAAGTTTATGTAAACATAGTTGTTATACACACAAAATGATGATCAAATTGACAAATCAATTCGGCTGTGCTGTTTATGCTTCACTGGTCGTGTTTCTGATGAAGCTGACAGTATAAATTGTACTAGTTAATAGTTTCACATAAAAACGTTTACTGGTTGTGCTATTAGAATTTCTGTACAATCCAAACTTACCAACCAAAAGAAAATGTTTTGAAATTTTAAGTTAATACCTTTTTTTCCCATGAGGGCTATATATCTGACTTGAGACTAATATATACTAGTATACACGAGGCCTACGTATCTGACTTGAGACTAATATATACTAGTATACACGAGGCCTACGTATCTGACTTGAGACTAATATATACTAGTATACACGAGGCCTACGTATCTGACTTGAGACTAATATATACTAGTATACACGAGGCCTACGTATCTGACTTGAGACTAATATATACTAGTATACACGAGGCCTACGTATCTGACTTGAGACTAATATATACTAGTATACACGAGGCCTACGTATCTGACTTGAGACTAATATATACTAGTATACACGAGGCCTACGTATCTGACTTGAGACTAATATATACTAGTATACACGAGGCCTACGTATCTGACTTGAGACTAATATATACTAGTATACACGAGGCCTACGTATCTGACTTGAGACTAATATATACTAGTATACACGAGGCCTACGTATCTGACTTGAGACTAATATATACTAGTATACACGAGGCCTACGTATCTGACTTGAGACTAATATATACTAGTATACACGAGGCCTACGTATCTGACTTGAGACTAATATATACTAGTATACACGAGGCCTACTTATCTGACTTGAGACTAATATATACTAGTATACACGAGGCCTACATATCTGACTTGAGACTAATATATACTAGTATATATGAGGGTGTAGATTGATGACTAATATATACTAGTATACATGAGGGTGTAGATTGATGGATGTTCGCACACAACAAAAATTCCTTGTCTGGTACTTGATGTTCTGCACCCTACAGGCATATACAGACTGTTTCCAGGGGCTGCATGCTTACTTTTGTTCATATATTGCCTTAGTTTAGGGTTAGGGTTCATTTTGGTATAATTATGTCTCCCCTTCGAATGAAGGGAGACATATTGTATAAGTACTGGTTCTTCTAATCGCAATTTGTCCGGGCCATACACTTTAAACCATTAAAAATATCCTGATGAAACTTGAGGTATGCATGCATCACCAACAGAAGGTGTGAGGTGCATTGGAATTAGGTCACTGTGATCTTCACCTCAAGGTCAAAGGTGAAATAAGTGCAACATTTCAGTAAATTCTTGTCTGGCCAGTAAATTTTTAACCATTAAAGATGTCTTAATCAAACTTGAAGAATACCTGCATCACCCACAGTAGGTGTGCAGTGCACTGGAATTGGGTCTCGTGCCCCACTAAATACAGAGTTATGGCCCTTTGTTTATTTCTAATACCGAAGTTTGTCCGGAGCATTAGTTCCATGTTATTTCACCTACGTTGACCAAACTTTGCTATAGTTTTAATGTATCTTGGGAAGTAGGAGTGTCACATTCTAAATTCGGGTCTCGTGCCCCTCTATATATAGAGATATGGCCCTTTGTTAATTTTTTATGTCGAAGTTTGTCTACTGGCTAATAAGGGGAGACATGTTTTTGTTTACGAAAACAAGTTTCTAGATAAGGTTTGGTTCGACACTTTGGTATCGTGTTGTCATGGTAACGTTGAAGCTCTCATTATCTCTCTCTGGTATCTATTCAAACAAAATGAATATATTTCCCAGTTGATATCTGGTAGGTTGGTGTCGACTGCCATAAACATAAATAGACTTTGAAATCTTTTTTACAATCTGCCTTATGCTACAAGAGTTTCAGTGATATAAGGTTGGTTTACGTCGTCTGCCCTCCAAAAGGAAGATGCAGAATTCTTGTTTACAATTTGCCTAGTGTCATTGCACTAGAGTCTGCTGTGTTCAGTGTCCCCGTTGGCTTAGAGGTGGATGAAGGATCTTACCATGAGAAAGATATTGACCTCTATACATCAAATCCAAAAATTCTCGCTGTAGGTCTGGGTGACTGTTGATAATACTCCAACACTCCGTCATCATGATCTTCTTGTGTTACAGGAAAGGAAGTAGATTCCATATCCTAGTAGTGTTCCAATTTCTAATTGAGGGGTTCAACAAAACCTATTACAACGCCGCTCCCTGATAAAGCCAAGTTCTGGAAGGAATTGTGCTTAGCGCTGATGCTTTGGAAATTAATTGTTTGTGCTTTAAAAGGCTCAGCCTTACATTGCTGCCGTTGTTGGTGCTTGCTAGTGTGTAGAATAAAGCACTGACACATTTTAATATCCTTACTCAATGCCTTATGGTTAGTAAGAGGTTACTTGATGTTTAACACGTTTTGACCCCTGTGAACTTTAATATAGACAAGTTTAATAGTTCCCTCACCCAAACACTACAGGCCTAATATCCTTACCCAATGCCTTATGGTTAGTAACAGGTTACTTGATGTTTGACCCCTGTGAACTTTAATATAGACAAGTTTGATAGTTCCCTCACCCAAACACTACAGGTCTAATATCCTTACCCAATGCCTTATGGTTAGTAAGAGGTTACTTGATGTTTGACATGTTTTGAGTTGACCCCTGTGAACTTTGATATAGACAAGTTTGATAGTTCCCTCACCCAAACACTACAGGCCTAATATCCTTACCCAATGCCTTATGGTTAGTAAGAGGTTACTTGATGTTTGACCTGTTTGACACCTGTGGACTTTGAGATAGACAAGTTTGATAGTTCCCTCACCCAAACACTGCAGGCCAAATATTATACACTCTTGACTTCATAGTTAAAACAAAAACGTTTGTTTGAAGATTGCCACATAATATATTACATGTAACCTTGAATGTTGCTCAATGTTATTTATTTAAATCAAAATTAAATCCCTTTAGGTAGCAGTGTACAGTAGAAATGGCTTGACCCTAAAAATAAAGGGCATGTCTCCGATAAACATGGATAGTGAATTCAACCTGCACAACACACCTACATATATATACATATTCATAAACTACATTTTGATTTCATTTTGTTTAGAAGACTGATTTTTTTTCAAAAACTGTTTTCTCCAGATTTAGGACTTGTGAAAACCATGGTTACCACATCAAAAAACACCAAAATATGCAAAAAAACATGATTTTTAACCAAAAATTTGACCCCCGCAAGTAGTAACTTTTTTCTTAAAACCTGTCTGAAATTAAATACCGCCTACTCGGTAACAGAAATACTTACGTTTAAGCATAGGTCATTCCCGTGGATTTTTCACAATATTTACACGTATGCTGAGTACAAAAATAGACTACATGAAAAGCTAGCTTTTGTTGTGTAGACACAAGATTTGTAAATGCCCAAAACTCTAGTCTCAAACCAAATTCGATTTTTTTTTTTTTGAAATTATGAAGCCCACATAGTCCACTTCATCATGTATATGCCAATTTTAGTGTTGATTTTTTTTAAATGTTATATTACAGGGGTTATTCATTGTATAAAAATATCACCCAGGGCCATTGTATGCTACTGTACACTGCTACCTTATCTCGGTCATCTTTATGGCAAACATGACTCAAGTTACTGTGGTTCTTGTGAAGAAGTTTTTAAAAAGTTTTCAACACTTTCATTTTTTGTAACCTTGGAAGTGGTAAAGAGTGCTTAAATTTGCAACATGCCAAATACAACTCTAGGACTGATGGTTCTTAAAAATTATGAGGCAATGAACCCCGCATCATGACATAAGCTCAAATGTATTTCATGCCAGGTGAGCTAAAATTGATTTAGAATTTTATTTATTACAATTGTAACAGGAGAGGAAAAATGCACGGCCAGACCGGGATTTAAACGCAGGATCCCCCGAACTCTAAATAGACACTAACCAATTGAGCTACCTGGTGGCCGGTGATCAGCCAAGTTTAATTCCACTAGTTTCCTTACTCCTTCAACAAAGACTTTGACCCCAAGACACACGAGACTCTACACAACCTTCCTAGGTATAAAGACGGATGCTCTCCCCAATTGTGCTACCTGGTCGCTGGGGATCAATCCAGTCCAGTTACGCTACACAACTAATAAATGAAAATGTCATCTACATGTAATTAACAAAGATGATAAATATTGTCATGTGACCTTCATTGATTGCATTAGGTCAATTTGTTTAAAATTATACACAACTCTTTGAGACCAATCAGTGAAAACAAATTCTACGCCTAATTTTATGTGAATTCAGGAATTAAGTGGCCCTTTGATACATGTAAAACTGTCCTACTCTGTGAAGTGCTAACCATTCTAAGCACCGAGGTCAGTATGTCAGAATATTGAATAACACAACACAAGATTCATTTGATAAATTAATTTATTTCAACGATGATTGATTAGAACAAATTCATTACTGATCTACAAGTTCCTTACCTACCATAATATAAGTAGATTTGGCAGTGTTTTCAACAAATTCAACCTGAACCAGGAATACATCATTTTATACTTGAATCCTTGACCAAGTCCAAATTGCTGAATTCATTGTGAGCATATTACTTAATGAGTCTTTTACTACTAGTTTTCAACAACAAAAAATGTACCTGGTAATTGAAATAAATATATACAAATAAGTCTTATACGCGAAGTTGTTAAAAAGGTTATCAATTCCCCAACCAGTATGTTTGATATCTTTAACATGAACCTGTACATACACAGAAAGGCCTTGTTCAACTTTGCCTATGACAGCAAGGCTGATGAAGATTTTGTGTTCAGAAATGGGGACAACAAATCTGTAAGTCAGTTGTAGTACTCAACAGTAAGTGTTTCAGCCTCAAGTTGAATTAGCAACAGTTGGTTTACTAGAGCAATGCTCTGTCAATTGGGGAGGTCCTCTCAATGAGTCCGTACTAATGTAAGTGACTAGATACTCCACCACTAGGACACTTAGTCTGTTAACTACTGCCTGCAGTAAAAATGTATGTAGGATTTGAAGACTAAAGGTTTTTGACGGTCATTAGAGTCACGCACTAGAAAATGTTATAGGTTCCATCACTTCCAACTGTCTTGAAGCACCTGTTATTATGTAAGCGAACTGAAGAGACAAGAGGAAGATTCCTGCGACCAGGAGACACAGATTACGAAAACCAATTCCATCACTAAACTCCTGAAAAATGGAACACCTTGTTTCTGATAAGCTGGATTCAGACGTATCCTTTTTATCAGCTCTCTTCTCCAGTTGTGTAAATGCCTCGATAATGGATGGCGCCAATCCGCGTCTTAAAGCCATCTCTTTTGGTGTCAATCCCAGCTTATTCCTACAAAGAGAAAAATAGGAAAATATAAATTTGACTATTTCAGTGCTGAGGAAGATGTGGCAGGCAGTTGACCACTATGGGGATTACAGGTGCATGGATTTTTGTGATGCATTCAATTTTTTCTGTAAAGAAAGACAGACTTGGAACACTTATCACTTTGATGAATGTGGTAAGCATGGATAGAAACTCTTAGTCACACACATTGTAGATGTGTAACAGAGGTCTTTATTGTTCAATGCCTTCGCCAGGACTAAACCATCTTCCTGTCAAAACATTAAAGTCTGGTGTCAGAGTCACAGGAAACTCGGGCTATCTCAGTTACTGGCTAAAAAGAGTACGGAACATACTTTTACCATTCAATTTCAACCTAAATAATCTGCATCCGATCAAATTAAACAGAAACGACAATTAAAAGACCCATTTTTTTGTGACATTCGTCAAAATCGGATACTCTCCATGTGTACTACGTATATACTAACCGTTGCATGATATCTGCACCATAGGCGACCAACATCTCCAGGACTTCTGTATTTCCACACCAATGTAAAGCTGAGTTGTTGTTGTAGTCAAGAATTCGTACATCAGCTCCATGTTCCACCAGTGACCCCACAAGGGAAACATGTCCGCGACAAACTGGGATGAACAAAACGGTCCGACCACTTCCGTCTCGCGCGTTCACATCGTGCTGTCCAGATTCTAACAAAACCTGAACCTTTTCGAGCTCACAGCTGTTGACCGCCTCTCTTAAATCATCACCAGCTTCCATTATTTCAAATATCAAATCATCAAACGTATTAACAGCCATTTAGAGCCACTAACACGGCAAGATTGAGAACATTCATCGATTTCTTGTGGTCATTTTTTGTCTTGAATTATCTCCCCTATATAGCACTTTTCCCCTCCAATTTATTAAGGATGCTGGCTCGTCATTTTAATTGTTACTCTGTAGACTTGACGCTATCGTTACTCTACAAAACGTAGGTCGGTGTTCCTTTCAGAAAATATATGTGATTGTTATTTTTTTTACCATCTCATTCAAATATGACACAAGATGCATAATAAATGAAATTTTTTTCACATGCATAAGTTGTCAAATAAAAAACGTTTCTATTCTTGAATTTGCTAAAAGACATCAAACTACAGTAACTGTTACTGGAAAATGTACAAAGGAGGGCAACTCGTTTAATTCCCAGTCTAGCAAACAAACCCTACTCAGAGAGACCGCTCCGCCAACTAACCTAGTTTAGAGTACAGAAGACACCGAGCTGATCACCTGATCCAAACATAGTAGATCACAGCAAAATGTTCACTAAAACCCAGGATTCCAGAACAATAAGGAACAACAAAAAGCTATTTAAAAAGAGAACCAATAGACAAGTAAGCAGTAACAGCTACTGCAACAGGGTTGTGGAGTCCTGGAATAGTCTGTCAAACCATGTGGTGAATTCCCCTTGTGTAAACAGTTTTAAACACAGACTCAACAAGTTCTGGTCTGATAACCCCTGTAAACTTAATGCCTCTGCAAGATCCAGTCGGACTATTTAATATTTTAACTCACCTTTTAACTGTAAGATTTCTGGATTTTAATTCCTCTATATCAATACACACCGGAAGTCATGTATTAGTATAGGAACATTAAAATGCGCCGCAAGAAGCTACCTGAAGCTTTCCTTTGGTGTCGACTACTATATCAACTATATCAACTATTCGTAAAGGAAGTTATCATTAAATACTTACTCATCCTTTACCAGCCCAAAATGTTTCGGAAAGTATCATTTAATGAGTGCTTTTGTGAGCGTATCCATGTGGGCTCTATAATCGGGACTCTAATGAGTTTTCATTGGTCTTCGACTTGGCCCTTGTTGTACACAGACCACTGTGCTATCTCAATGTAAAAAGCAGAAAAAACGTCTTTGAACCATGCCTATAGCATGGTGACCTGTAGGGTCATGTTAGCATTTTTCGCCATTTTGTATCTCTAAAAGGAACTTTGTCCTGGCGACAAAATGAAAAAGTGCCGTTGTTATTAACGGATGAACGAATAGTAAATGGAAAAGTGAAAAAGAGACACACAAAATAAAACTGAGAGAATATCGAAGCGTCTGCAAAACCGTAGCTCAAAGTCACAATCAATAAAACTAGGGCAAAATATGAACAAAGAGAGTATAACCAGATGTTCCAGAAGGGTAAGCGTCTTCAACACCCGTAAGTCAAGGTCAAGGTCACGTTCTCATAGAGAGACTGGAGTAATACAAAACATAGTAAAACATCGACCTTTATAACATAAAGCTTGGTCTACTTGCCCATCTCTGGAAACACTCGTTGCGAGTCCGACAGCAGCCGACATCTATGACGGAGATAATGTTATTCGGAGCAAGCTCTTGGCCAGTGAAGCAGGATATGCAAATCAAGCTGAAATACCCCATTACAAGAAAGACAACTTAAACTAAGGGTTCATCGACACAACAGTAATACTGAAGGGTTGGGAACCAAGTGTGAAAGAAGACGCAAATAGTTAAGGAGAACCCGAAGACCTCACGACAGTACATTAAGAGCAAAGCAAACACAAGAGAGAGAATAGGAGACCTGCTTTTAAACTCTGAAAGACAAAACTATAACCGACATGGTTACTGGGAAAACTGAAATTCTCGCAAACTACTGTAGTGGTGTACCCGTGTAGGAACCATCCGGTGATACCTCAACCATCGAAAGCAAGGAAGTGACACAGCATGGTAGAGGTTCGAGTGGAATAGAAGATATCAAGAAAACACTTCATATAGAAGTCTAATTATTCCCCGGGTGCGAGCGGTATTTATCCACGGTTCCTCAAGGATGCTTTAGAATCTATCTCAGAATCGTGTACAATGATATATTATCAATCACTACAACTGATGAAAGTACTTGAAGATTGGGAAAGAGCAATAATAAGTCACATATTCAAGAAAGGAAATAAATGCGATTTAGGGAACTACAGATCTATTAGCTTAGCATCAGTAGTTTCTAAAGTGTTGGAAACGCACTTTCGAAAACACATCATCGATTCAATGAAAAGAAATGTTATGTTTGGCAATAGACAATGTGGCTTTATAACGGGCAGGTCTACAACACTTCAATTGCTTGCTGTACTAAGCCAATGGACAGAGTCATTAGCTAGGAGTTTCCCAATACATTGTATCTATATGAATTACCAAAAGTTTTTGACACAGTCCCTCACCAGAGATTTATTAGCAAAATAAAACCATATGCTATCCTAGCTAAGTAGAGTAGATATGCAATTTTCTTTCACGTAGAAGACGATGTGTCAGTAAATAATAGTTCATCTACTTGGAAAGAAGTCACGAGCGTTTCTGTTTACTGACGACACCAAAATATGTAGAACAATAGCGGAATAAACACAATGACCACATGGTGCGAAACATGGCCACGAAAGCTCCACCCTGAGAAAAGGAAGCATCTGTGTAAAGCGCTACCAGATATATCAATGGATTCATATGAACTAAATAATATAAAACTAAAACCAACCGAAATCGAAAAGGATTTAGGAGTAACAATACATACTGCTTTAAATTTCGAACAACATATCAGTTTGAAAGAGCCTAGTGAGGACATCTATTGACTACACAAGCCGAGTCTGATCACCGTACAAAATAAACACGGGAACAATATCGAAGGACCAGAAAATAAATACCAGGGTATTCATGTAACCGTTCTTAGGCTCGAGCATGGATTCTGTACTGAAACCAACTTTCTTGTAGCTGGCTTAAATAAAATGACATGGTAAAAAGTCAGGTGTAAACTAAAAAAACGAAGGCCTGCTGCTTCAACTTCCTCCGAATTCTTTATCAACGGATCAAGAAATTGGGATGGAGCACAAAATCTGAATCTGAGCCAAATAGTGGTTTCATGAAACGTGCCAAGGTCCCAAGCATCTCAGTTATTCGGAACGTGTAAACAATTCAAACTATCTTGATAAATTACAAAGAATAAAAATCCTTTCAATAGGCATTAGCAAGAATCAAGTTATACATGCATTATTTATCACAATAGAATGTTCTTTGTTATTGTATTTTAATTGGAATGAATGAAATATTCTAATAAAAATGGACATTGTTAACATATTTTAGTGAAAGCAAATGAGAGTGAAATCCTACAGATTTCATAAGAGATAGAAAATGTTGTTCCTAATGGATAGCTATTTGTCCAACTAAAATTAAGTATGAAATTAAGTAGGAAAATTTAAAATGTATATATTGCTTGCTTTTGACCAATAGATACTTTCCAGGGGCGTAGCTGGGATATACATCTTGCGTAGGCACTTGAACAATTGGCTGATATTAAAATGTGTATTTTTGTTTAACGACAACAGCTTTAAAGTTTAAATAAAATCAATTGATAACTATACCAGATCGTTTTATGATTAAATATACAAATTATACGACATTATATGTGAGGATTTAAGCAGGAGTTTTTAGACCAGGTGTTCCGGAAGGGTAAGCGGCTGCTGCTTCCTCAACAACACACATTCAATCATTCAAATCCAAGATATGTTACGTCCACAAAGCGAGAACTGGAGTAGTGACAACAAAACGTCACTAATAAGCATAATCAACAACACTGACCTTCATATCACACAAAGAAATAACACATTTCCCTTTAAGATTATTAAAGCGACAATAAAACTTGTCAATAGTCTTCATTATCCGTCATTTTTGGAAATTGTATTGTTACTTTGTCAGTCAACAGTCGACATCAATAATATCATGATGAAGTCGTGAAGTTACGCTATTTACAGCAATTTCTTGAATATCGACCAAATCGACAGCAACATGGGGAACAAGGGTGTTACTTTCAAGAAAGAGAAAGTTCATGGTAGGAAAATCAATATCGTCCTGCTTATCGTACAGCGTAGTATAAGAGTTTCCGTTTGATCATGTCATGAGTAAAGGTCGAGGAAAGCGGCTTTTCACAATATAGTGAAGGCGTTCTTTCTGTTTGGTATGAGGAATGGTAGTGTTAATGGTCGAAAAGCAAAAAACAATAATAGGAGAATATGTTTGAGAACAGGATGTTCTAGTTTGATCAAATGTTCTTTTGAATTCTTCAAAACCTAAATTCCGTTTATTCCCCTTACCGAGTATACAGAGTCACAGTACGACTCTAACACTGATTAAGTGGTACTAAGAAGTTTGCATAATGTCTTGGTTGAGTAACAAGATAAGCCCACGATAAAAAGTTATTTGTTATTTATAAGTATTCTGGTAAAATTTCAGAATCAAATGCAAACACGGCAAAAGTCCGTATCCTTATCATTAATGGGTATTCGGAAAGACTGTAATACAGAAGCGTGATTGGCTAGTATTTTGTCTTTCAGAGTATATAGGTAGGGTTACCTTGGTTATCAAGCATGCTCAGTTCTGAATGGTCACCTTGTAGCCTACCTCCGACTGAAATCCTATGCGTGCCAAATCAGGGTAGGGATGGGCATGAAAGTTACACCTTATTTTGAGTAGCCTCGGAAGACAAAAAAAAGTTTCACTGCGAGAGGGATCCTCTGACTGGTTCTCTGAACTTTTTCGAATTTGCCAGACCACAAACTTGTTCACCGTTGATGCATTACGTATCATTATTAAATGTAAGCTCCGAAGTTATATTTCACTTGCGTGTAATACAAGATCTTTTTTGACCTTAGAAATAATAACAATATTTCCCTTAATTTGTACTAGACCAATACTTTTAGCAAAGTGAAAACACATAATCATTTTTTGGAATTTACACATGACTAAAACCGAAACCTCTACACAATGTTGTGCATATATAGGCACGTGTCTTCTCGAGCCTCAGCTACGCTACTGCTTTCAATACGTAACGTGCGTCGAACAACACCTGTCC